TTCTCTAGACGGAGACGGAAGAATAAAGAGGATCAGCAGTGCTACAAGCCTGCAAAAACTCAACCTTCTCGCCACTCCACGCCAGCGCAAAGCCCAACAAAGCAGTTTTTTCTCTCCGTTGTCTTTGTTCCGCAGCGTTGTTTTTCTACTAGGCCCAAACTAAATCCCCAACAACGTAGTTATTGCCTCAGCAGCGCTGCAATTTTTATTTATTTATTTTATGTATATTGTTCCCCTTCCCGCAAAGCTACCTCTTCGAACAACACTGATTCCTTTCTTCTTTCTCGCCACAACGCTGCTCTAGCGACAATAACTCTTTTTTTTTTATTGTGGCCGGTTGTGCGGCCTCTCAGCGGTGTTTTGGCCAAAATTTATTTATTGTTTTTCTTTACACACCGTTATTTACTTCACCAACAATTCTGTTTTTTCCTCTCTCTCAACGGCGTTGCTTTGGCCGAAATTATTGTTTTTTTTTGTTCTTCATGCGGCCATTAAAAAATTATATATTATATATTTTTTATTTGGCCACAATATTCCAACAACGTAAACGTTGCTTTTATTCCCACAAGACTGCTTGTCCCAAAACGGGTTCGTTTCCCTCTTTTCTTCACTCCTCACGAGATCAGTGTTGTTGGTCCAGGGCACTAGGATAGGAGCAGAACACAAAAAGAAATTCCACACCGCTGCAAGCCTTTCGCGGCACCGCTTTGGCCAAAACAATTGTGTTGGGGTTTTCTTTTTAATTCATATTTGACCAACTAACAGTCACGCCAACAAAAATTCAACCACGTTTTGGCCACAAGAAAAATCCGACTGGTGTACTTGCACCCATAACCTTGCTCACGCCTCACAGTGCTGCTTTGGGAGAGACACTCAGAGTAAAACAAGGTTGTTTCACGGCAATAGTATAGTCTCCCACCCAACAACTGTAGATCTCCTATACAACCCTGCAGCGGCCGCAGCGCTGTCTTAGCCCAAAACAGACTTGCTTTTGTGGACTCCCACAGCATTGCCAAGGCCAAACGGTAGTGTTTTGAATTTTTCTTTTATTTAAACAAAAATATCAAACAGCCGTGTGTTTTTAGTGTCACCTATGTTGGCAGCTCCGCAATGTTGTTTTTCTGCAACAATATTGAACTACTAGCTGCAATGCTGTTTTGGCTGAAACGACTACGTTTAACTAAACCCTTTTTTTTACTGCCGCTTTAGATTTGTTTTGCTCATTGCTGCGGCGACTACAATTACATCGCCACCAATGTGGTTGTCAACCCTCATCACCGCTGGCCTTTTATCTTCCTTGCCGCAAACCAGCAACCAGTGCTAACAACGTCGCAAAACCTCAACAAAAAATATATTTTATTATTTGCTATATGGCCAACAACGTTGGTACTTCAGCAACATTGCTCTTGTAATTTTGTTTGGGTTTTTTTTTTAACTTGGCCCAAAGTGAGTCCCAAATATCATCAAAGTCGTTGGCCGCTTTGTTCAAAAGTCCAAACGACAACATTTCCATCATTTTTTTTTTCAACGTTGCTCAAAGGAACAAAACGACAATGTTCCATTATTATTATTCGATGCCACCAATCAGCCAACAACGATGGACTGCATCACTGCTTATCGCTTAGGCTCAGTGGTGCTGGCATTTTTTTTTTCAACGACATTGTTTATCCCTTTATCACTGTTGAGACAAGAGAAAACAACACCGTTTGCCATCTTGAACCATCAACAACACCAACTTCTTCTTAACAATGTCGCTTGATTATATTTTTATAATAATAATTTTTTTCTTTTCCTCTTTTTTTTTTTATATTACGTGGCCTAAATTAGCCACATATTTATTTTAATAGTAGTTAAACGAAACAGGGTTGGCATTGGCATAAACCATCCTGCCAAAAGTCCAAACCCACTGCCAACTCCACATATCAAACCAAACAAGTTATCCATAAATTCCCTGACTCGTTGGTTTTACACACGTTGGTTTTGATATTTTGGAATCAATGTTGGTTTGCAACTCCCCAGTTTGTCGAGCTTGAACACCTTTGTTTGAAATTCCACGAGCTCGATTTGGCTTCATCTCAACCATCAGTTTTGTTCGAGAACATGAGAAATCACCAGTGGCCTTTGCTTTCGGCAAGACATTCACCTTTTTTGACATCTTTGTCTTGTCAAGTCGACCATGCAGCATTGCTTGCCTAGACCGGTCTGATTTTGTTAGTTGCACGCTCTCACTATGTTGTTGAGAGTATGAGCCCCGATGCTCACGAGCTTCACCAACACTCTTGTGATTGCGCTGTTTACTACGACACTTACCACACAACCACGTTATTTAGTTTGAACTCTCACATGATTGTGGAGTTTGTTGGACAGTGGAATTGTCCCCATGTCCACCATTCATGGCAGACTTGGTCTCTGCCGTCACTGGCGTGACAACTCTATGTCGGGCTCGATTAAACTTGCCCCCCTTTCCACTCAGTGGAGCCTTTGGGGACAATTTACACGAAGGAATGGGTTGAGCAATACCAACTTTCGCGGCAATAAGTTTGTTCACGTGATCACCACCTCCATCTTGAGTAGTGTCTGTGGTGACCCTAGTTTGACTTTTCCTAGAACAAGGTGGATGTGGCAAACTTATTTGCCACTTATGGTGTTGTTTCTCCTTCAATCTACCACGATATGGGATGACATGCTCCCCCAGCGGCTTAGATTGAACAACATTGTAAAATTTGTCATCTTTCAAGATATCACAGTAGTTCTTCCTAATTTTCTGAAACTTATTATAAATACGTTTAAATTTTGTTCTTTGTTGTGGCTTTCGCAAGACCGCTCTAACTTTCCTGTCCTTCAAAAGAATAGTGTTCACAGGAGAACCAGCATGAGATTTGCTGGCCCCTAACGCCACTGTTTTAGCCACAAGTTTAAGTGAATCCTTATTGGCAATACCGGAATCATGTGCATCTATCATCTCAAAAAATTTATCCATATGTCTTCCAAGAGAATCACAAGGCTTATTTAAAGAGATAAAATAGATATTTTCCTGCCGGTAATATTCCTCTATAGATCGACGAAGAGACAGGAGTGCAGCATGCCCATCAGTGCTCGACATGGATTGGGGCCACTCCTTCATCACCCCGATATGTCTATCCGCCTCATATGCTCCGCCAACTTCAATGTCGGCCACACGCTCCACCTTCACAGATTCTTGTAGAAGATCAACGTTGTGTTTTTCATGCCGCAGAGCCATATTTCACTTCAAACACACGTGTCCCACCAGGTGTGCCAAATTGTTTCCCGAGAAAATCAAATGCCACCGCCGGTGCCGAATTTGGTTTCCGGCGATGTTGATTTGATGTTTTGCGATGGAAACTCTTGCGGTGCCGCTGATCGGATGCACCGCTGATAGCTGAAATCGAGACGACCGTCAAATATCCACCGCCGAATGTCGGCGCCGTTGATTTGATCGGTGCAACTCTGACTTCTGAAAACGATGATGATCGTCAAATATCCACCGTCGTGCGATATTGATTTGATCGATGCACCTCTGAATGGTGAAATCAACGTGATCGTCAAATATCCACCGCCGAGCGATGTTGATGTGATCGATGCACCTCTGACTTCTAGTCAACGCGACCGTTACTACGGTTCGCACCTCTCCAAACTACGTTCGAACGAGGGTGTTTGAGTTTTTGAGGAATCTACGCTACCGCTACTCCTATGGAGATTCCTGTGGAGAGCTCCACGACTACAACTAAGACTACAACTATGGAGATCCTTCCTGGAAGGAGAGCTCCGCGAAGGATTTACAGAGAAAAGGTAAAGTTTGAACAGAGTTGATCTGTGTTGATTTTTGGTTTTTTCCCTCTCTCTCCTTGCTCCAGTGATTTTATCTGAAATCACTTGCGTAGTCTTCACGCCATGTAGAACTGCTTCCTCAACCGCTCCATCGTGAACTCCCACGTGTCTCAACCGCTTCGTTCCTCAAACGGCTTCGCGTGAACTTTACGTGAGTTGTTTTCATAATCCCGCGATGTCGTTTCCTTTCCCCAAACAGCTCCGTTTGCTTTTCCTTTTGCGACATTGTGTTTTTATTAAACACTGTCGTTTGCTAGTACAGTGGTACGGTTGGGCTTGCTCGCGGTACGGTTTTTAATTAAATGACACTGCTAACATAACCAAAAATATCAATTCATGGAACCGCCGCGAGTCTGCACTCGCATGGGGCTGGGCGAATTTTGGTCACTTACCCAATATGGTTTTTTTTATTTAATCGGTACCGCTTGTCTTGGCTCTCGCGACATCATTTTTAAATCCGCGGTACCGTTTTTATTTTCCGCGATGCTGCTTGTCTCCATGCGGTACCGCTTCTCCCCTTCCTACAAGGAATAATAATAATAATAATAATAATAATAATAATAATAACTCCTTTTCCAACACCAATACTACGTGCGCGGCCCCCATCCTGTTTTTTGGTAAACAGTGTTGTTTCCAGTGCCGCGGTACCGGTGAGCTCCCTTGCGGTACCGTTTTTCTGATCCGCGGTGTCGTTTTTAGCCAAACGACACCGTTTCCCAGTCTCGCGATGCCGTCGAGCTTTGAGGTTCGCGGCACCGTTTTATCTCTTCGCGGCATTGCTTGACTCCAAACGGTGTTGTTACTCCTCCTCCGACAAGGAAAAAATAACATAAAAAACATTCCTTGTCCAACAGCAACACATGTCCTGCGCATGAATCACACATGGTCTGCAACCAATGTCGTTTCAAGTACCGCGGTACCGCTGAGCCTCTTCGCGGTCTCGCTTAAATTCTCCGCGGTATTGCTCAACTCCAAACGACATCGTTTTGGCCATGCGATATCGAATTAAATGCCAAGACTCATTATTACGGCATTAAATTTAGGCCAAAAATATTTTAGGTGTAAACACTTTACTAAACTCCAAATCACCGAAATTTGAAATTTTATCAAAAGTTACCATAAGCATTACCCAAGCTTTAATGAATTTGAATACGTTCATTCATAAAATTCATAAAACACTGAACTAATTTCGGGGGCTAACACTCGATTGAGATTGATACACCCTAAAAATTTGAGGGCTGTAGTTTCATTCAGGTTGTCCAATCTACGAGTAACATACAGTCACAACTCACAAGACAAAGCTATCCAACTATGAAACTCTTGACGCTGCAGAAAATGAAGGGATTGCAGGGAACCAATTTTGTTTCCTTGGGAGTAACGGTACTTCAGGCAAAACAGGGTAAAACGACGTCGATCTTGCCTTACCTCTTCTGGACGCTGAAGAAAATGAAGGTGTTTTTCACTCCTCCTCCTGTTCGAGGACAGCACATTGACTTCATCCATTCCAAGCAGCAGCTTACGACCTCCTCATCGATCTGATATCCTCAATCAAAGCCTCCAGATTCCGACCCGACGACCCATCTAAACCAACACTCCGTCTCGCCAACTCGGCCATCCTCGCCGCCCTCGACCCCAACTCTTCCCTTCTCTCCACCATCAATTCAGTCACCACCTTCTCCACCACCTTCCTCTCGCAGGCATCCTTCATATCCAGCCCCAGCTTCCACACCTCGCTCGTAAACCTGCTGTTCACTTGCTGGTCGGCGAAATACGGCAGGCAAATCATCGGCACACCAGCCACAATCGTCTCGAGAGTCGAGTTCCACCCGCTGTGCGTCAGAAACCCACCCACGGCGCCATGATCCAGCACTTCCTTCTGCGGCACCCACCCTGACACCACCATGTGTTCTTCGCCTGGATACCCTTTCACCAGCTCTTCAGGGAAAGTGCTGGTGTTGCTGTTGCTGTTGCTTCCAAGCTCGGCGACGACCGAGCCCTGCCTCATAACCCATAAGAATCGCTGCTTGCTGTTGATGAGACCGTGCCAGATTTCGATTATATCGTCTGGTTTCATCACTGTAATGCTGCCGAAGTTCACATAAAGGACGGATTTTGGAGGCTGCCCGTTTAGCCATCCCAAGCAGGTTCTGTCTTCTTCCCAGAGACTCGACGACGACGAGGAGGATGATTCTTGGGTGGGTTTCAGGTTCTTGAGCTTTGTTCTTAAGTGCTCGTGGATGGGTCCAATTGGGTACATCTTGTGGCAGTGAGAATTGATTTGGGTGAGAATTGGACCTTCTAAGTCAGGGAATGTATTGAGGATCAGCGCATAAGCTTTGGAGGACAGTCTAGTAGCGGAAACCATACCTTGGAGGTAGGGATGAGAGAGATCTCTTCCGCGGCACAAGCTCGGGAGATCTCTGCATCTGAGAAATCCCTCTGCTCCGGGAACTTTGGTTATCAGTCTGTCCATTTCTTCTTCCCCTGATTCTCAGGGGAATTTCATCGAACACGTTGCCGGCATCAGCAAAAGAATGGAGGGACTAAAGATAACATTTGATTTCTTTTCAAGCATATTTATTTACCTCCTCGGACTGGGAGCTCGCCGGCTTCAATCAAGTCAGGGATGCAGAAATAAGTCCAGAAGCAGCTGGCGCCGATTGTACGGAAATGAACGACCGGGATCCCGACCTCGCCGGCAACATCGAGAGGGAAGTCGAGACCACCGTCGCTAATCACGCAGTCGAGCGGCGGGCGAATCGAGAGAAGCAAATCCTTGAACAGTGGTTTGGTTACCGATCTCATGGATTCGAAGAGGTCGAGAATCTGCTCGCCGCACCGGGGGTGGTCGGTAGGCAGGCCGTCGGCGATGCCCAGCATGTAGAAGAGCTCGGGGTAGACAGCGAAACGGGATTTGACGGAGGTAAACTGGAGGAGGCGGCGGTGGTTGTAGTCAGAGTTGAGGAAGGTGACTCTGAGGTTGGAGAGGCAGAGGAGCTCGGCTAAGTTGAGCATGGAGGTGATGTGGCCTTGCGCAGGGAAAGGGAAGATCAAAACGTGAGGCGGCGTCGTAGTGGGAAGCGGCCGGCCATCGGATTCCGCCATTGTGCTTTCCCTCCTTGGTCTGCAGCGAAAGCAACAAGTGGTTGACTGCTAATCCGTGTGGTTTAGGGTCAGATTAACAGAGCAGGTTGCGTTAATGTTAATTTTAAACATCATTATTATTTAGCACTTAGCTCCTGCTAATATAAAAGTAAGACTAAACGAGGATATTCTCTCGTCTAGCGAGAGTTGTGGAGCGGCGGAACTAGGGTTTTTGTAGGTTTTTCGAGGTGCGATTGGTGCTTTGAGTCCTGGTTGATTCAGGTTTTCCTTTTCCGAATAGAATCAGTGGCTTTTGGTGAAGAAATATCTAGTAGCGCAGGCATAGCTTACGCCCCTTAAGAAGAGTTTCCTGAGAGAGGCAGACAGAAAACAGTAAATCCTTTAGAAGTACGTGAGGTTGCGAGTTACAAAGGAAGACGTGCTGGCCAAGTCTTTTGGTCGGAGAAAGCAGCAGTAGGAATCGGTATGGCGACGTCGCTGTACAGTGATGAGATACCAATAGGGGAGGAATCCACAAAGGATAACCTCAATCCAACAGGGGCTATTGAGAATCAACTCAATAATATTACGTTGGAAGAAGATGAGGAAGAACCACTCGAGGTCGAAGATAGCGATGTCGATGTGGTACGCATGGAGGCAGTGCGACATCTAGGGCTCATTGGCCGCCTGGTGTCGGATAAACAACCCAACATTAAATCGATGAAGATAGCCCTATCCAAAGCCTGGGGTTTGAAGAAGAACTACCAGATCACAGATCTATACAACAACCTATTCGCTTTTCAATTCCTGGACTTTGATGATCGGAATAAGGTCTGCTATGGTGGACCGTGGCACTACGAAAACTGCATCATGGTGTTCAAAGCAAGTTGGATGATTCAGAAGCCCACAGTGGCTGACCTGCATGAGATAGATATTTGGACACAAATAAGAGGTTTTCCAGCGGAGCTGAGAACTCAATCAATGGCAGAAAAAATAGCAAAACGGTTTGGTGAGCTGGTTCATTTTGAAGATAGTGCAGAGAAGATGTGGGAGGACTACATGCGCATTAGGGTGCACATGTCCATAAACAATCCACTGAAGAAAAAGATAAAGATGAACATTGGAGGAAAGTTAGTCGAATACCAAGTTAAGTATGAGAAGCTTCCACTCTTCTGCCACTCCTGTGGAAGAATTGGACATGTGAAGCTCAAATGCCCTCGGCCAGCGCAACTGACCGCTGACCCCTATGGTTTTGATTTACGAGCAACATCACCAGCCCCACGCAATTGGTTATCTCCAGGGGCACGAAAAGCAGATGGAGAGATTTGGAGACAACTGCGACAAAAGTTTGAGATAGAGAGCACTGGTTCAAACCAGGAGATTGGGAAATCAAGTGAAGAAGGAGTAGTAAGCATGGATGTTGAGCCAAAGATACAGCCAGCAGAACAAGAAGGTAACAAGATAAATACAGAAAAAGAAATGACAGCACATACCTTGCTTGCTGCAGATATGGCTCCGGAAATGGCTAACCAGAGAGGGGTACCCAATGATGGGGGAACCAGTAACCAGAGTCAGGAGAAAGCAGCTGAAATAAAACAAAAAGGTCAGTCAGGTCAGGAAGATCAAGGAAGGCAACTAGGGGCAGTACGAAGATTCATTATGGAAGAAAGGGCTGATCAGGACCAAAGAAAATTGAGAGGAAAAGGATGGAGGAGACAGGAACAAGGAAAGGCACGAGAGAAGGGAAGCCTACAATTAACTCCTCAGAAGCGACAGGTTGAGGAAAATGATGAAACTATCAATCTAATGCGCGAAGAACAACTAATGGCTAAGAAAGCTCGGATGCTGGATTTTGTGGACACCATGGAAAAAGAGAAGGTGGAACATGATAAACTAATGGTTGGCAAAGAGGCGGACTCTGCCAAGGAGCAGGGCCGCCGAGCTCAATGAGTCTGTTGAGCTACAACTGTCGGGGACTTGGGAACACCCCGGCAGTTGAAAAAGTGAAGACGCTATTGCGTCAAACAAATCCCGATGTGGTCTTTCTTATGGAGACACGACAATATGAGGAGGAATGGAAAAAGAAAATAAGAGAATTTGGATATCTTTGTGGACAAGGGGTGGCAGCAACAGAGAATAGAGCAGGTGGTCTCCTATTGATGTGGAAGGAGGAAGTACAGGTAGAGATAAAGAACAGCGATCTGCACTTTATTGATGCTCAGGTAAAAATGGCTAATTGCACACAAGATTGGAGATTCACGGGTATTTATGGCTGGCCGCAGACTCAAAATAAGCACAAAACCTGCGAGCTCATCGAGAAATTGCACAGGCAGGTTGATATACCGTGGTTAGTAGCAGGAGACTTTAATCTAATGGTAGATTACTGGGAAAAGAATGGCAAACACAGTCCGGATGAACGAGAGATGGAGATGTTCAGAGACTGCTTAGATAGATGCATGCTGGAGGATTGTGGCTATTATGGCCGCACCTTCACGTGGGAAAACAACAAGAGTGATGAACACTATACTGAAGAAAGGCTGGACAGAGCAGTTGGAAATGAAGCTTGGAAGAATTTATATCCGAACATGCGCGTATACCATTTGGAGAGATGTGGATCTGATCACATACCAATTCAAATAAAGCTTGATATTGAAGATGAAGAGATTACTTGGGGATGGAATTTCAGATATGAACCCTATTGGGAAAGACATGAAGACTGTGGCAAAGTAGTGGAGGAAGGGTGGATGGAAGCGGGGGGAGGCAATCTGATGGATCGACTACATAATGTAGAATCAAAGCTGAAAACTTGGACTGCCCAAGCCTTTGGATCGTTGAAGGAAAGAAGAAAGAGAGCAGAAAAGGCACTACGGGCCCTGGAAAAAAGAAAGAGAACACAGGCAGTTCAGCTGCAAAGAAGAATCATTGAGTAGGAGTTAAATGAGATTATTTTGCAGCAAGAAATAAGATGAAAACAACGGTCCAGAGCCGATTGGCTCAAAGAGGGAGACCAAAACACGGGGTACTTTCACCGTAAAGCGTCTGAGCGCAGAAGGCGGAACACCATTAAAAAGTTGACAGATGAGAGGGGGCAGGTTTATGCAGGACAGCAGGGAGTGAACGAGTGCTTGCTGACTTATATGAAGAAATTGTTTAAGGCGGGGGCAAGGCCTGCTGGGAGTAACATTCTACCTGCTGTCCAAGCGAGAATAACAGAGGAAATGAACCAAGAACTACTCAAGCCATTCACGGATGATGAGATTTGGGGAGCATTGAAACTGATGGGGCCAAACAAGGCTCCTGGGGCGGATGGGATGTCAGCTAGGTTCTTTCAGAAGCATTGGGGAGTGGTAGGGGCAGCAGTAAAAGAGGAGCTTAGGGGGTATTTGGAACAGGGGGAATTCCCACAGCAACTGAACCACACCCTCATAGCTCTTATACCAAAAACCAAGAACCCGTTAACGCCAATGGAGTTCAGACCAATCAGTCTTTGCAAAGTATTATACAAGATACTATCTAAAGTCTTGGCAAACAGACTGAAAGGGATACTGGATCAAGTCATTGGAGAGCAGCAAAGCGCTTTTGTTCCAGGGCGCTTCATAACAGATAATGCCCTAATTGGCTTTGAGTGCTTTCATGCAATGAAACAGAAGAGAAAGGCAAAGAAGGGATTTATGGCAGCAAAGTTGGATATCTCAAAAGCCTACGATAGAGTAGAATGGGATTTCCTAGAGGCAATGATGAGAAAACTGGGATTTGCAGACAAGTGGGTTCGATTGATAATGCAGTGCATAACCACGGTTTCATATTCTATTTTGGTGAATGGACACCAATCTGAGGTTTTTACACCAGAACGAGGACTTAGGCAGGGGGATCCAATCTCCCCCTACCTGTTTCTACTTTGCGTTGAGGGTTTGTCAGCACTAACTACAAAGGCAGTGGAGGAAGGCAAGCTACATGGGATTAAAGTCTCCACTCGAGGGCCTAAGATCTCTCATCTGCTGTTTGCAGATGACAGTATCTTCTTCTTGAGGGCTACACCACAAGAATGTCATCAATTAAAAGACATTCTACGAGTTTATGAGGCCGAATCGGGACAAATGGTGAATATGCAAAAGTCTGAGTTGATCTTTAGCCCCAGCGTGGCAGCGGAAAAAAGAACTGAGCTGGCTAGTGCTCTAAATATGAAGCAGGTGGAGAACTATGCCAAATATCTTGGCCTCCCCACGATAATTGGCAAGGAGAAGAGGGATGTTTTTGAGACTCTGATCAATCGAGTGCGAAAGAAGATCAAGCATTGGAAGGGACTCACCCTCTCCATTGCGGCAAAAGAAATATTGATCAAAGCGGTGGCACAATCTCAGGTAACATACATGATGTCCATTTTCCTTGTACCAAATGGTGTATTGGCAGAAATAAGGAAAGCAATATCCAGCTTTTGGTGGGGACAGCAGAAAGAGGAACGTAGAATCCCTTGGAAGGCGTGGAAAGAAGTCTGCAGACCTAAAGAGGAGGGTGGAATGGGATTTCGGGAACTACATGCCTTCAATATCGCGTTACTGGGGAAACAAATCTGGAATATGCATACCAATCCAGGATCCCTAGTGGCAAGAATTTTGAAGGCAAAGTACTACCCGAATACAGATATTCTGCAGGCAAAGTTAGGGGCAAATTCGAGCTACTCCTGGAGAAGCATACTAGCAGCTCAAGAGCTGGTTAAAAGTGGCTCACGGTGGAGGGTAGGAAACGGCACAAGTGTTAAGATTTGGGGGGAAAAGTGGATTCCAGTAGCTGAAGAGAATGACTATAAAGCTACCACCCCTGAAGATGGCACGAGTGAGATTCAGCATGTAGCTGACCTGATAGATCATGAAGATAGAACGTGGAGGCAAGAATTATTGCAGCACCACTTCAATGCTGTAGACCGAGAGCGAATATCAGGAATACCTATCCCTATACAACCGGCGGAGGATATTCGAGTGTGGGGGCTGGAAAGATCAGGGACATATTCTGTAAAGACAGCCTATAAACTGATGTTAAAGAAGAGCGAATTGGTTCTAGGAACGGAAGTGCAGGAGGAAGCAGAAGGAGAAGAGGAATTGGAGCCAACAGCAGAGGTGTATGAACCTATGAACTGGAAAAGAATGTGGCAACTGACTATTCCAGCTAAAGTGAAGATCTTTCTCTGGCGGTTAGTCCACAATATTCTACCGACTGGGAAAAATATCGAGACTCGGATGAAAGAAGCTGCAACAGAATGCCCCTTTTGCCATACTGAAGAGACCCAAAACCACATCTTTCGGGAATGTCAGTGGGTAATTAGAGTGTGGAGGCAAACATCGTTTAAACCACTCTTCGAATTGGAGCCAGGGGTATCGCCGAAGACCTGGATCTGCGAGATCATAGAACGAGTAGATGATGAACTGCTGGAGCAGTTTGCCATTTTCCTCTGGATGATTTGGAACGAGCGGAATAACCAAATGTTCAATCGAAAGAAAGCGGAGGAATGGGAAGTGGTTGGGAAGGCCCTAAGCTACTGGGAGGAGTTCAGCTCACACCACAGACAGGAAAAGACAGAGAAAGAGTCTGAAGAGGCTACCTGGAAACGACCGCCGATGGGCTGGGTGAAAATAAATGTTGATGCCGTGGTGCTGAAGGGAGAAGGGGCAGGGCTGGGAATGATTATGCGCAACGAGAAAGGCGAATTTCTGCGAGCAGCGGTGCGGAGGGAGAGAAGATGCTGGCCGCCGGAGATTGCCGAGATTAAGGCGGTGGAGTTCGGGTTGAAGCATCTGGAGAGCAGTGGATATCGCCAGGCGGTGGTGGAGACGGATTGCCAGCTGGTCGTACATGCACTCCGGCGAAAGTGCCAAACAAGGCTGGAATCGGGCCCCCTAATCTGTGAGCTACAGGCCAAAGCTGAAAGGTTGAGGCCCATTAGTTGGGAATTTGTGAAACGGGGAGGCAATGAATTGGCCCACATTATGGCACACCTTAGATGCAATTGGGATACAGAGGAAGTTTGGGACTCTAGGCCCCCAGTTGCTCTTTTAGATTGTTTGGATAAGGAGGCCCGAGCCTCTTAATAAACTATGCAGGTTTCCATAAAAAAAAAGTAAGACTAAACAAATTAATTTATATATTAAAAAGGTTAATTGCATGGTTGGTCACTGAAATTACAAAAAACGTTCATGTTTGGTCACTGAAAATATTTAAATCCAATTTTGGTCACTCAAATTAGTTAAATGGTTCAAGTTTGGTCACTCTCCGTCCAACTCCGTTAAATTTGTCTGATGTGGCAGTCAACCCTCAAAGTTGACCGTTAATTCAGTGACGTGGCAATTAAAAAATAATTAATAAAATAAAATTTAATCTTCTACCATTTGCAATTATTTTAAGTAAAATAAAATAAAATAATAATATTATAATTACAAATTGAAAAGTGGTGGCAATTAAAAAAAGTTGCTTATGGGATTTCAACAGGGAGGGACAGGGTGTTTGCATCAGTAATGATAGTTCTGGCTGTGATAACAAGCGCCATTGCCATATCAAGCAATGTCTACACTTTGGTTGGGGATAACCAGTAGTGTGTGCTTCTTACGTTTTGTTCACAGGCTTTTCCTTGGTCGAGATTTGCTTCTATTTTGTGTATTCTTTTTCGGCTGCGACGGAGGAGGAGCTGAGGAAGCTGCTTTCGAAGCAGAACCAGTCCGGTGAAATGCCGATGTACGTCGTCGCCGAGTGCGGCCACGTCGACATCGTGAAGGAACTCATCGAGCACTGCGACACCGGATTGGCCGGGATCAAGGCTAGGAACGGCTACGACGCTTTCCACATCGCCTCTAAGCAAGGCAATCTCGGTACGACTCAACTCTAAACCCTTCAATTGAAACGGGAGAAAAGAAAATCACTAGTTTAATCATTTTCGATTTTGATCGTGTTTGCAGAAACATTGAGGGTTCTGATGGAGGCGAATCCAGAGCTGGCGATGACATTCGATTCGTCCAATACGACGGCGCTCCACTCGGCCGCCGCGCAGGGACACATGGACGTGGTGGATTTCCTCCTGGAGCGATGCGGCACCGTCGCGGCCATCGCCAAGAGCAACGGCAAGACGGCCTTGCACTCCGCGACGAGAAATGGGCATTTGCAGATAGTGAAGGCGCTTCTAGGTAAAGACCTTGCAATCGCCACCAGAACTGACAAGAAAGGGCAAATGACGCTTCACATGGCGGTTAAAGGACAGAACGCCGAGTTGGTAGAGGAATTGGTCATGTCCGATCCTTCCTTGATCAATATGGTCGGGACCTCTGGGCTATATTTTAGTTTAACCCACAGGCCACAAGGGCGAGCTAAAGCGTGGAAATTGGAATCGCGGTCAGAGGGGTTGGAAGATTGCACGCCAAGTGTTCGATCATTTGCCTGAGAGAAAGTAGTAGCATTCCCGGTTTGCTCTAACCATGACGACGTTCTCAATGATACGAGGTAGATGCTTGCTATCACGAGCTTGCTTCCGCTACCTACCGGGAGCGTGTAATTTCTGCTCCAAGGCTTCCGCGATTGGCAACGTCATAGATCGCTGGACTAGAGAAGTGCTGGCCGAGAGACGTCCTTCGACCCGGTCGAGCAGCAACAACGTTCATCTGTCTCCTTTGTTCAGAGATACTACCTCACCACTCCGCCGCCCCCTTCACCGCCCTCGCCGCCGCCTTCGTCCCCTCCACGGTCTTCTTCGTCTTGTAATGCGCCGCCGACCAAAAGGGAATCACCACTTTTCAATTTGTAATTATAATATTTTTTTATTTTATTTATTTTACTTTATTGTAAAATGAGTTGGAAATGATAGAAGATTAAAATTTATTTTATTAATTATTTTTTAATTGCCACGTCACTGAGTTAACGGTCAACTTTGAGGGTTGACTGCCACATCAGACAAATTTAACGGAGTTGGACGGAGAGTGACCAAACTTGAACCATTTAACTAATTTGAGTGACCAAAATTGGATTTAAATATTTTCAGTGACCAAACATGAACGTTTTTTTAATTTCGTGAACAACCATGCAATTAACCCATATTAAAAAAGAAAAGAACAAAAGGCGACTACCATGAATTCTGAAGCGCGCATGGAACAAGGGATATAGGAAAATCCAACTCAGCTTGAACTTCACCATGATGTAACGAGAATTTCCTATGAAATTCTAATATGAGTTATACACTTATGCGTTGGTCTTTCTAAAAAATTTCATTAATTTCTCCTACCAACTTGTTTATTGAGACCAAATGGTTTTTTTATATGGTATCAAAATTGATTTGACCAAATTATATACAGTTTGTGTAAATTTCAAGCCCATAAATATTGAGTTGACTTTTCATTTGAGATGTGTGTAAAAAAGTGTTTAAATCCATATATGAACTTCTCTCAATAACTCAAATTATTAAGTCAAATTAGTTCTTCACATCTTGTTTATGGAGTTTGGGAATGGACTTAACCATATGAATTATTAGAATCTGATCTACAATGATGAGGGTGAGTGCAGATTGTTGGTCAATTGAAAAAAGAAAACCCACTAAGAGCCCGATCACTATGCACCTAGAGACACATTATTGTACATACAAACTCAATGGTACTGTTACAACCCAGATTGGATTTCGGTGTGGGCGGGTCTATGGTGTCTCTAGTTAGTTTCCAAGGCCTTGGTTCTCTTTAGAGCATGATGGGACCTCTGGTTGGCTGGGTAGTTGGTGGGTCTGGAAGCATTTGTGTGGCCGCTGTGTTGACCAGCGTGTTATTTCTTGGTGTTCTCTATGGTACTTGAGAGGTATCAGAGATGGAGGGAAGCAGAGTTGAGATATTTTGTGGTGTATATGGCAGATTTGAAGCCACATTATCTTATATGTAAAAGCCAACTACGCTTTATTGCCCCCAAACTTCCAACTACTGTTTCACTATTTGTCGTTTCTTGAACGGCTTTGGGGCTTCTCGCAGCCAGCCACCCACCTCCACACGGTGACGCCTTCCCTGTCTTGCATCAATCGGCCATGTCCTCCGTACACCATCCCCAGTTGGCCTTACCTCAAAATCCACAGCCGCGGGATACAGTCTTTTCAGCTCTCAGTTGGGAAGGACACGCCACTGCTGATGAGACCTCTTCGCAGCAGCTCACACACGCCCCCACCTCACCTTGCTGCCATCGATTAGTGGAAGAGCCAGCTTCTCTGCTTCGGCCCTCTCAAAACCATCTGCTCTCAAAACCGTCTGCAACTCTTTTCGATTCCGTTGTTTCTCTCTTCCCCGCTTTGATGCCAGCCTTTTCGACCACCATCAAGTGAAATCCCATTCCCAGGCTGTCTACTTCTCCTTTTCTTCTCATCTCTCTCCTGTCGTAGAGTCTGATTTTCGTCACATACTTTCCAAATCTTGATTTCTGGAGAGGTGCGAGAGTTAATTGGAAGGAGGAGGGAATGGATAATCATTGTCGTCGTAGGGATAGGATCAAAAATGCTGTTGCGGTGCCGAATGATGTCGTCGGCATCGACGGAAGGAAGAGGGGAAGCGAAGATTCTATTGGGAGGCGGAGGGAAAGGAGAGCAATGGGTTCGGAGTGATGGGGTCTTTTCGGGTTAGTTCTCTGCTTTATTTCGCTTCTTCTTCCAATTTCATCACGCTTGTTTCTACTCTAATTTTGTACTCCTTCCTATCCCCTGAAGATTGCTTCTTAGAACATGGCTTTTCTGTGAAAGAGCTGCTGTTAATTATTGGTCTGATTGGTGCAACTGTGAAAGACCAATTGTTTGTTTATTATTGCTAAACCTGATCGTTATTGTTTGATGGACTGTTATGCTTACACTAGAACTAATCTCGGGGTATATTGTAGACTGGGGTAGCTTTGCAATTTTCTCACTCAGTTCTCTAGCTTCCAACCAGAGTATATTTTTTGTTCTTGCTTTGTTGTCTACATCTGGATATGTTGTCTACATGTGAATTTTATATGCAGGCACAGATTGGCAGTGCAAAAGCTGTGGGTAAGAAGATGGACAACGATGTCATGACTCCTGTTGGAACCAAAGATACAAGTAATGGTAAGTGATTTCCTTTAGCCTTTGAGATGGTGGATGGATACAAGCAATGCTAGCCTTTTTTAATGATTTCCTCTTCCTTTCGGCACTAGGTTTTCCACAGCAAATTTCCTTCCTTTGGTTGTTTGTATGTGGACAAAAAACTATGTTTGCAAAATCCCATACTGTTCCAAAGTCGATCCAGTTTCAGCACCTTGCTCGGTTCTAAAAGATGAGTTCAGTCATTTGATTCATCTGTCATTCACACCGACTTCAGTTATCAGTTACGTTCCTAGACTCTTCGTCAATCTTTGCTAACGATATTGGCGGATACAAATAATGACACGATATGTTCTGTGTCTTTGAGATGGTATATGGATACAAGCAGCTTTACTCTTTGTTAGCAATTTTTCTTGAATGCTATTTCTTGCTTCATTGTTTGCCCTGTCAACCTCACTGCTCTCTTCTGCCAACCCAAATTCAAGATAATACATTATCAAGAATTTTGTGCTTCACTCCCTGTAACTAACTATTCCAACTAGAATAGTGTGCTGTCTTTTGGTCCAACTTCGAGTCTACTGGATAATTTACTTAATAGTCTCCCATGTGTGCTTAGTACCATACTTAATTTTTGTCATCAAATCTCTCAATTGAATTTGGAGTATGTTGGAGAATTTACTTAATGGTCTCATTGATGCATAGTTGAGGCCCTACCAGGCTTACTCCAATGCTTCAGTTCTCTTCTCCACTTTGATGCTTCTTGATTAATTCTAACTCAAATTTAACTCCTACATATGTAGGAGACCTCTTTGAGTCTATTGAGCTTCCAATAACTCCTTTTTAATGTGATTGACCACCTAGATATCAATGGATTTTTCAAAAAGATTCTTTCATAGTCCAACAATGCATCATTAGTACACATTTCATTATTCCAATTAGTCCTAATATCAGTGTTCTACGTCCAATGCAGACCCTAGAGAAGAGGTTGGTTTCCCTTCCCATGCTTCCTTTTTCATGTTACTTGCCATTTAGACCTGCGTTTGCTGCTCATACGGTTCAAAGGTTGCAGCGGGGACATCGAACCCAACTATGCAGTGCATTTTTTCAAATTTTCATGCATGCTCGACACTTAGTAATTAGTAACCCTGTAGGAAGTTATCAGAGACAAAGAAACAGCTGAAAGAATCTTCCGTGCTTTCTGCATTTGCAGTTTTGTTGTGTTGTCTCTTGCATGGTCTATCTTAATGTCTAGATTCAGTTGGTATTTCGCTCGATAACATAATTGCACCTCAAAGTACAAATGATAGTTAAGTGTACAAATGGTTGTATTGCCTGAAATTCATCTGTTTGTAGTGAATTTTGTAAGTGAGCATAAAGCCTGAGTTTTCGTTATACAATTTGTGTACATATATAGTAGCTAGATGTTATTACAAAGAGAGCCTAATCCTACGGAAAGGCGAAACAAAGTATACTGTAAATAATGAACGGAAGAAACAGAATAAAGAGAGGAGGTGGGCAAGTGGTTTAAATTAGTGTAGACTATAGACTTTGTGTTGTTCTATCATTTTAATGCATCAGAGTTGGACCTTTTGCAGGGCACGTTGACCACTATGCCAGAGTGATGCGAATCATTACAACAAAAATTCGTGATGCTTAGGATCAAGCCAGCGAAAGATCAATGGAACTGTCGGGGTGTGAGCTCTTACTCTCTCTTATGTTGTACACACCCGTTACCATAAATGTGTGCTATGATATGTAATCTAGATTTGCTCCCAACAACTTTGTGCTATGATTCCTCAACTCTTCAACAATGCAATGCTGCGGCAAAAATCTCACTTTTACAGAAACCAGCAGAAGAGTGTTTCTGTATTTGACTCTCACTGGTAATGGTAGAAATGGATGTCTTAGCTCTGTCATAAGAAAGGTGTTTACTATGGAGATTGGAATTGGACAAGACACATAAATGGTAAGTTTGGTGTTTTGAGGTCGGCACCATATGAGATCCACTTACCTTTGTCATTTCGACATGTTAGATCTTGTATGTTCCTTTATGATGTCAAGATCTTCCTATGTTAAGTTTTAATCAAAAACATATTTCACTTCAAAGGTCTGCCCGCTCCATGTTTATGTACGCTTTTGCCTGGTACAAATATGTGTATTTCTAAGACACAAAGATTATGACAAAAAGAAAAGACATAAAGATTGCTGATCAATGTTTCTTGACAATGCATATACTTTTTACTTTCGCTTTTATAATGTGGACCTCATGTTGCTTAGAAAGTTCACTATTTCACTGCCCAAATTTGCTTGCATAAACATTGATATTTACTTCTCTCTTTCCCACTCTTACCAGCCTTGGTAAGTTGAGAGAAGCACATCATTAATGTTGCTAGCTTTCTTCAATCATTGTCGTTTCCTTTTATTTGAATTATATCAGGCTGTGATTTCTTTGTTTTCTTCAATCAAAATGCTCTCTTACAGTTTTTATGACTTTTTTCCAGTAGCACAACGATACAAGTCTTCTACTTTCAAAATTTCTGATCCCACTTTACTGTCACATAAACTTGTCATTATATTTGATCATGTTGTTGCAAGTATTGATTAGTGGATGAAATGGCCACAAACATGACTCTCCACCTCCTTATATAAAAGAAAACTAGAACAACCTGACTTGACTATAAACTAACTACCTGTCCATTCATCATGAGACGGCAACTTAAGTCCCCGCGGCGTAGCAGCGAGCATTGTTTCTAGTAGCTTTATAGTTTTCGGCCACTCATTTTACCTAATTGGCTCAGTTCTCTATGCCTCCTTTTTCTCTCATTGGTTCTATCACCACTCACTGCTCTCTCAACAAGAGAGATAAGGCAGAAATTGTGGGGGATTTCACTCGCTACATGCCTCTCTCCTCCATCTTTCATTTCTTACGATCTGTCGTCTCTCTTCCCAACCAATCTAATACGCTCTCCTCCTTTCCCTTCTTGATTATCAGGGAAGAATTCTGCTTCTTCAAGTTCACGGGACTCTGTTTTCGAACCAGAGATGAAGATAAAGTCGACCGTTGCACCCAACGATGTCGTTCCTACAAGTACCCACTAGAGCTGGAGTGATGTCGTTTATGGCAAAGTTCACTTTGATCCCTGGAGTTCTTTTTTATGTTTCTTTCCGTTTTGGCAATGTACTTTCTTAGAACACAAGCTTTGTCTTCTTTCATACAACTATATAAGCTTAAGTCTGAATGAAATCAAGCTAAGCTCTTTTCTATCCAACCCTGAAAGGTTGTTATGGTATCAGAGTCTGGTTTGGCAAGTGGTCGTGTGTTCGATTTTCCACGAAATATTAACATTTTATTAAAACACAAGATAAAATCCACTATAACCTTCTCCCAACAACTCGAGTTATTGACATCAGCTGGTTCTTGATAAGGACCAGACTATTCATTAAGGACGCACTAGGAAACAATTCTATTTGTTCAGATTTAGACTTCTCTCTATCCGTTCCTTTTATTGACGCCACTGATTTTCTTGGGCTGTGGTTCTGTTGTAGTGGAAGGACCTTCAAGGCGGCTTTGAGCAGCTGGATCATACATCAAGCTTGTATAGGGGCCAGCGTCACCTAAGCAAAGGATTTAGGGCACTTCAAGTTGTTCATGAACCTTCTTGGAAGAGAAACGAGAAAGTAACTGAAAGGGAGAGCAGCTGGCTAGCTTTGTGAATTACATCTGCAGCTTGATGTATGATAACACTTAACCACTGTAAGCTAATTTTGTAAAACATGATAAGAGTGTTGGTTGAAGTAAACGCACAGTTCGGCCTTGTTTCCTCGGTCATTAACAATGGAAGAGTGGAAATGCAAATTACATGAATATTGCATCAACCAAGGTTAAAAACCTCGTCAGCTGTTATTGTCGGTCCCCCAAAGTTGTCAAAACTGGAGCAAATGGCACCTTACACTGATTCTGCTGAAAGAAAATTCATCAACCCAAGACCCGACTAGACATCAAAGCTCATGAAACAAGTTCCATCAGCTAATCTTTTGTTAGCTTTATTAACTAAAGATGATACAACATGGGAGTTGCAGACGACCTTCTTGGCAGGCTTTTCAGATTTTCATGGATTCAAACTTCTCTCTTAACGCATCCCAAAAGGCTGGTATGGCAATGTCATCCGGCACTTCCTTAAATGATGGAAGGTAATTTACATCCACAATGACATGATCATTGCTGCCTTCCTGAACCTGAAGGTGCAGAAGTTCACAAATTTATTCACAGAGATGAATACCAATGAAAAAACCAAGCACAGTTTAGTCCATGCCCCATGGTGATTACGGAAGCTGTAGAGATGCTTTACCCAAGTTGACACCGTCTGTAAGTTTACATTGGCAAGAAATGACCCCAACTCGATAAAGGGTGAATCAAATCAGACGAGGCAATAGAGATGGAAGGATGTGAAATGTTTACTTACAACAACATCAAAGCCAAAGACAGTAAGGTGAAGCTTTCTGGTTAACCAATATGCAGCATCTGTGACTAAATCAATATCAAAGTGGTCCGAAGTGGCCCTGGAGGACTCCCCACCGTGTAAGCTGTCTGTGCTAGTCGGTAATGATTTCAAGCTGGAGAAGGAAACAAATTACGGTGTAAGATTTGTGATTCCAATTATCATTGATGGATAAGGAATCAATGGGGACAAGAAATTTCAGCTACCTGTCAAAGATTAAAGGTGAACTCCCATTTTCAATTGCCATTTTCGTCAATATATCAGCATTTGGTACAGACCTCTTAACGGCATAGAAAACTTTCTTGCCAATGACATAAATCTTGAACAACGTTGATGAATGGTTTACATATTCCTGCGGTGCCAATTATTACCTGTTGTAAATTTAAAGAGGAAAACTGGACTTGGATAACCCAGAACAAAGTCTCTTTTCTTATAGGGAACCCATAAGATGGTCACTAAACCAATCATTTATAACTTACTGAAACGGCAAGCACTATGATATAGTTAATCAGTAGTAGCACACTCAAGTGATAAAAATCCAAGATTATCACATTATAAACTACAGTTACTTGAGTTAGTAGGTCACTTTCCGAACAAGAGTCAAATATAATTAAATTTAAACTGCTAAAGTCTTGTGACCAAGAAGTCTTAATCAGAGTTTAGAACTAAAAAATATTTACACAACAAAAGCAGCTAGAATGTCCATACTTGCCTGAGCAACTGCTGGTAGAGGAACACTTAGGTTCTTAAAATCTTCAGATTTAAAGACAATGGCCTGGACATGGAAATTATATTGATTAGAATGATGCTGTTAAATTGGAGAAATGGAGCCACCAACATCCTAGAGCAGTCATGGTTTCAACCAAAACAAACTTGGATAAAACATCCTAGAGCAGTCATGGTTTCAAAAAAATAAACTTGGATAATAGGCAGCACGCTGGGATCTTTGGTGCCTTTACCAGAATTAGATATAACCTTCAAAGCGATGAAGACATCTTCAAATAAAATGATAAGCGTGCAATCCAGACCAAGAGTATCGTAAGAGCCAGGAAAAATACAAAACGGCAATTATAAACAGGTTGCCCCCTATTTAACACATTTCCATACGGTAAATTAGATAACTATTATAACTTCTTGTCGAAGATACTTTACCAACATTGAATAAACAAGCAATAAAAATATGAGACAACTCTCTGCTGCAACAGAAGTCCAACAGCTACAAAAACAACTCTTACCATGCTATGAGCATCAGCAACACCACAAGCAACTTGGGGTTTCACTATACTTGGGAAGGATAATTTCGCAGCAGATAGTCTTTGATCCATCTCAGGGTCATTGAAGTCATCAACCTGTACATTTGAACTCAATTCATATTAACCTCAGAACTTTTCTCCATTATTGATTTACAAGATATCAGTTTACACTCTACTGCATCAAATAGATACCATTTTCAATCAAAACACCTTTAGGAAATTGGGCCCTCTAATGCTGCAGCAGCGTCCTTTGGGAAGATCCTCTAACCCATTCAGAATTTGTTGTATTTTCAGTCGATCCACAACAGGATATATTTTATCAAGTGGATCGATTACACAGCATTCAACATGCTGCTCCATATATCTGAAATGATTAACAACTTTCAGAGAGTAGTCAGTATCAGAGCATCGATATTGATCACGAAATGTTTGCAAAAAAGAAGCAGAACAAAGAGTATAAATCAATGCCAGTTCAAAGTCAGAAGGAATTTGCATGATAGCCAAATAAGGTAACAGCCAACCAAAGATTGTGAAGCCATATCATGGTTCCGATGGAGAAGCCATTTAGGAAAACTACAAGGCATCGCATTTAAACTACTCAAATTAGCCTCACAGTCTATTAAGTTACCTTTTCAATTCTTGCATTCCTTTTGTGTAAGTGATAGCATTTGATGATTCTGTGGAGTCACGTAAATCAACGGAGATGATTTCATCTGTTGCTTTATGCAAAATTATGTCAACATCTTCTAATTGAGGTAGCAGGGGTTTCTCAAAAGACAAGCGCTGAAACAGCAATCCGTTTGGAGTTACACCATCAGGGAAGGTGCCTCTCTACAATGATATGTAAGAGACATGAATAAGCAACACAGACCGATACAAGCAAAACAAGCTATAACTTAACAAAACTAGGCCAGCTTCACTATCTTGACATGGAATCAAAACAGAGAACCCCATTATTTAGGTATATAAGAACATGAAAATAAGTGCATTCAAATATGTTTAATTAAGATGGGAACAGTACATATGATCCAACTTTTTTTCAGTAATTATGAACTAACTTCCAATTACAAAGACCCTAGATTTCTTATTGGACACCTCCATCACCATAGACCATGAATTCCCTCCTTAACTTTCTATTTGTCACTTCTCGATGTTCTTAGCAAAAAATCTATCCTTGTGTTCATGGTATGCCCACATTGGACTGACTCACCTTAGCAAAATCTTTTTGACGAGAATGCTTCATGAGATACCCAACCTTCACAGTTGTGATGCTAAGTTCCTTCAAATATCATCCGAGATGGATGAATTGCTGTCAGCCAAGAACAGTAAAAAGTATGCTTGCAGTAAACAAATGAACTCGTTTACCTCATCAACTGATCTATCATTGTGTTCATCCTCGCGATCTTTCTCCTTGCTACCTCTATCGACTCTTTCTGGGTTGTACGGAGATGCCATACCCTAATAACAGTACAGTCCCAAACAATAAGAAGTTGGTAGAAATAGAAGAACGAGACATGCAAGACAGAGACAAATACAAAGACAGACATCTCGCTCACAAGGATTGTCAATCCAGTTTAGCCCGTTTGCCCGGTCGAGCAAAAATTGGGGCTTTGACAGCCGATTTAAAGAAGAAACCGAAGGACCCTTACCAATCGAGTTCGACGCAGAGAGAGGGATAGCCGATTGGGACAAGGAGAGGAAGGGAAGGAGGCTGAGCTGCAACTGGAGATGGAGATGGAGATGGAGATGGGAGACAGATTGGGGCAGAGTAGGGAGGTCGAGGTGTCGACTGCGGGAGGGGAGCGTGGAGCCAGAGGGAGGACGAGTTGGAGGCAGGGGAGACCGAGCGGTGGAGGCAGAAGGTAGCCGATCTGTGGACCCGAGCTGGAGGCAGAGGGCGGCCGAGCTGTGCCTGTGGCTGTGACGGCCTAAAGGAGTAAAATGGTCAGTAAAAGACTCACTAAATAATAAAAGTATAAAACAAATCAGACAAATATAGAAATAAGAGTATAGGACAGATGTTGGCATATTCCAATGCAAACCAATACTCATCATAGTTTACTTGGAGAAAGTTATATTAGATGTTATATAGGCTAATGTACATATTTAACTACTTTCTTACACGTTTTTTCAAACGAAAGTTGATTCATGGGCTTGAAGTTTGCACAGGCCAGACATATAATATGTTTGAAAGACAACAGTTAATATTGGGGGTCGTGAGAACTTGAACACGTGACCTCACGGACAAACCAGCTCTGATACCATGTCATAAGCCAGTTGACAAATTGGTCGCGTGTTCGAATCTCCACGACCCCCAACATTAACAGTTGACTAAAGCACAAGGTATGGGGATCGCCTGTGCAAACTTCAAACTCATGGATTGGCTTTCGTTTGAGGTGGCGTGTTAAGTGCTATAAGATCCAGCATAACCATCTTCCAAAAACTCGAGTTATAGACTTATTGGGACCAACTGGTTTATGACATGTACAGAACAAACCACATAGATAAACGTTTCTTAAAACAATTCACAAGATACTAAAAGCGAACCAGAAATAAGATGAGTAAAGAAAAAATATCTATAAAAATAGAAAAATTAGCAAAGTCAATAAATGACTATCATGGAAGCATCATAAATATTTTAGAAAAATAATAAGTACTACATAAGAAAACAACGAACATTTAAAAGCAGTTTTAGAATGTCAATATAATGAAAGACAAGAACAACTATATTCTCATTTAGAACTAGCTAAAAATATAATTAATAAGATTATAAAAGACAGTGCAATAGCAAAAGGAAATCAACTTCGTATACTCAATAAATAATTCTACCAGATCTTCAAAAAATAATAATTAAACTTTAAGAAATTACTACTAAATTAGACAACAAAAGATGTGTTATCATAAAATATATGGAAAATTGTTTGAAAGACTACAAACAAGGAAAATAGAGTATCGCAGCACCCTTTAGGATATTATGACAAATTTAGATGAACAGATAAATAACGGATTAATATCTTATTTTGCCCAAATTATAATCAAACTTTCTACTTTGGTCTGTAGTTTCTGAAAGTGCTCTCATGTGCTGAACATCAAGGAAAGCAATTGGTGGCTAAGCAAGTACACAATGAAAAGGTAATTACAATTCAGGGGCAAGAGGATAGGACTGCTTCAGTGAATCAGGAAATGAATATGGATCAACAGGTAGTGAGTGGTAAATGCAAGGAGGTGGTGATATATGATGATGATCATCAATTGATGGCCATCTTTACTACTCCAATTTCGATGGGAGGGTGCAAAGTGGCTCCACAGAACTTGGAGAAATCATTCTAGGAGGTGGCTACTTCCTCTTCACCCAAATTACCCTCTGAAGATGAATTTCAAAGAGTGGTTAATGGAGCTCGACCTCGAGTCTGGCTATCTCAAGACAGTTAAGGGCATTCAATTTTCTAATTCATCTTTCAGTGTTTTGGGGAAACTGGGTGATAAGGAAGCAAGTAAGATGCAAGATGCTACAAAGAAAAAGGAGGTAAAGAAGGATACAAAGAAGGGTGGGGGGAAGCCCCCAACTTCGAAATGATTATTCTGTTCTGGAATGTAAGGGGTTTAATAAAACCTCCAAACAGAGGGACTTTATGCATGTCCTACGTAGAAATAAAGTAGATTTAGTTGATGTTCTTGAAACCAGGGTTCAGGCTAGTAAAGCTGAGGAGGCAGTAGAGGAGGTTTTCGCAGGCTGGGATAAATGTCTCAATTGTTTTGATTCTAAATTAGGGCGGGTCTGGCTGTTTTGGGATCCTGCCATCAAGCTTCATGTTCTCAAACCAAGGAAGAACTTTATTCATTGCTTGGTTGAGGACATTAACAAGGATACCTTCTTTCTAACTGTTGTTTATGCGTCTAATGATGAGGCTGAGAGGCTACATACCTACAGGGAGATTGCACAGTTGAAGATTGCTGGACATCCTTGGATTGTTGGTGGTGACTTTAATACTGTTAGGGCTCCTCATGAGACGTCTAATCAGCGATCATTTACTTCAAGTATGGAAGGTTTTAATCAATGGATTGAGGAGATGGAGTTGGTAAACTATAGAACAACGGGGCCTCAGTTCACATGGACTAACCGACAGTCTCATCATCCTATTGCTAGACGGCTGGACATAAGTCTGTTAATGTGGATTGGATTGAGCATTTTAAAGATTGTGCTATGGAGGCTCTCCCTACACATTTCTCAGATCACTGTGGGGTGCAAGTTTGTACGGTAGCCCCTATAAAGTCTCTGCCCAAACCCTTTAAATATTTTGATTTTTGGGCAGAGCACCCACTCTTTATGGATATAGTGAAGGAAGCTTGGTGTATTGAAGTTTCAGGGAATCCCTTGCAAGTTATTCAGAGTAAATTGTGTAGGGTAAAGCAGGCTTTAAAGAAGTTTAACAAAGATGTCTATGGTAACCTGCAAGATCGGGTTAAAGAGACTGAGGGTGAGTTGCTGAGAGTCCAGACTAAGGCTTTCTCAGATCCTACTACTGAACACTTTGAAGCCGTTACACTTGCTAAGGATCATTATGATAATATATCTTCAACTTATGAAAGTTTCTGCTGGCAGAAATCTAGGGTATCTTGGTTAACAGTTGGGGATCAAAGTTCAAACTTCTTTCATCGGGCTGTTAAAATTCGCAACTCCAAGCGAGCTATTAGGAAATTGGTCACAGACTCAGGGGGAATATTTCAATCTAACCAGATTGTTGAGGAAGTGCTGGGCTTTTATAAGAAACTATTGGGAGAGGCTAACTTGGAAATTAATCCTAGTAAGGAGGAGGTGGAGCAGCTTGTTCGTCACCATTTACATGGGCCTGAGTGTGACCTCCTTGTTAAGGAAGTCACATCAGAAAAGATAAGGAGTGTGGTTTTTAGCATGAATTCCCAGAAAGCTCCAAGGCCGGATGGTTTTTCTGCTGGATTCTACAAAAAGACTTGGTCAATTATTGGGGATGATATAATCAAAAGGATCCTATTCTTCTTTCAAACAGGTACTCTTCCTAGTGGAGTAAATGCCACTGTTGTCTCTTTAATTCCAAAAGTTTCTAATGCTGATTTCTTGAAGAATTTTAGGCCTATTTCATGTGTGAATCTTCTCTATAAAATAGTGTCTAAGATTCTTGCAAGGCGCATTAGTGAAGTTATGCCTCTGATCATTAGTAATACTCAGTCAGCTTTTGTTAAAGGAAGAAGCATAATGGATAATATCTTACTGGCTCAGGAGTTGGTTAGTGGATATAGTAGAATCCATTTGTCTTCTCAGTGTGCAATAAAAATAGATATCATGAAGGCATTTGATTCTGTTAGTTTACAGTACTTGTTTCATATGATGCATTCAATGGGATTCCCATAGAGGTTTATGAAGTGGATTAAGGCTTGTCTTCAAACTGCCCATTATAGTTTCATGGCAGTGTATGTGGATTCTTTAGAGTTGGGAAAGGAGTCAGGCAAGGTGATCCATTATCACCATACTTATTTGCCATTGCTATGGAAGATCTATCGACCATGCCGATGGCTGGAAGTCAATCTGGAGTGATTCCTTTCCACCCTCAGTGCCAAAGAATCTCTTTAAACCACATGTGTTTTGTTGATGACATCCTGGTGTTTACTACTTGATCGGCCCAAGCGATCCTTCAAGTTAAAGAAGTTCTACCTGTCAGATATTTGGGGCTTCCCTTAATGTCTGGTAAACTATCTTCCACAGACGTTGACATTCTGGTAGACAAGGTTACTAAGCGAATTAAATCATGGAGAGCCAAGAAACTAACCTATGCTGGAAGGCTATAGCTAATCAACTCAGTGTTACTTGGAGTGGTGCAATACTGGATGCAGCTCTTTGTGCTTCCCAAGAAGGCATTGAAGCGGATTCAGCAGGTATGCTCTCAATTTCTCTGGCATGGAAATGATGTTGGAAGAGCTAAGGTGGCATGGGACTTTGTAGCTTTACCAAGGAAGGAGGGTGGACTTGGGATTAAAGACCTGTTGGCATGGAATCAGGCTTGTTCCATTCGCATGCTCTGGCTGTTTCTTATGAAGGCTGGAGATCTGTGGGTTGCATGGATGTATGAGTACAAATGTAGGCAGGGGGCCTCTGGTCATTCAAAGTACAGTATAATAGTTCTTGGACTTGGAGAAGGCTTCTTAAACTGAGAGGCATCATTCTCCCATGGATACAACAGCAACAAGGCACCTTATATTGGGATTCTCATGAGATGCAGGTTTATTCTGTTAGAAGAGTGTGGGAAATGTTGCGCAGGAAAGCTCCAACTGTCTCATGGCATAAACTTATTTGGAGCAGACACTGTCCCCTGAGATATAGCTTGATCTCTTGGCTGTTAATGAGGAATGCCATTACCACCAGAGACAAACTGTTGCAGTGGGGGAAAATCAGGGATGCTACATGTCCGCTTGTGGTGTAGCTGTTGAAAGTCGAGAGCATTTATTTCTCCACTGCAACTATTCCCAGAGGCTGTCTACGCTGATGCATTTCCCATTTCTGAGTTCTCCAAGCTGGGACGCCATGGTACAAAAGATTGCCGCTGCAATATGCAGGGACTCTCATTCAGGCCAATGGCATGCTCTCATCTGGTGTCTCACAGTGTCCTTTATCTAGAAGGAAAGGTGCAGAGTAGTTCATGGTTCACCCTGCCGCGACCCAGAGTCTATTGCTGATCTTATTAGAGTGGATATAATGTTCATATCTTGTGGAAATAGAGGATTTCGAGATGCACTTACACGCCTTGGATACTTATAGTTTTTATTTTGAAGCTTTGTAAGTAGTTTCTTATATAGTGAGTGGGAGTGAGTAGCAACTGTTTTTGTGAGCTGCTTGTGGGACTCTGCCTTTTAGGGTTCCACTTCGTTCTATCGGTTTTCTTTTTTAGCAATAAAAGCAACTAATTCAACG